TTCCTTCCTTCCTTCCTTCCTTCCTTCCTTCCTTCCTTCCTTCCTTCCTTCCTTCTTTGCTTTCTGTATATTTCAGCCCATCTTAATTCCATCTTCCTATTTCCACTCTCTACACCTACTATAATATATTTTTAAAACCACAGGTCATAATTTTGACTTGCATATCAAACATTGACATCAATTAAAGAGAAAATCGTCTCTCTCTTTCCCTCTCTCTCATTTTCTCTCTCTCTCATCCCCCCTCTCTCATTCTCTCTCTCATTCCACTTCCCTCCCTCTCTCTCATTCCCTCTCATTTTCCCCTCCCTCTCTCTCTCATTCTTTCCCCCTCTCTCATTCTCTCTCTCTCATTCCCGCTCTCTCCCTCTCTCTCTCATTCCCCCTCCCTCTAATTCTCTCTGTCTCATTCCCCCTCCCTCTCATTCCCCCTCCCTCTAATTCTCTCTCTCTCATTCTCTCTCATTTCCCCCTCCCTCTCTCATTCTCTCTTTCATTCTCTCTCTCATTCTCTCTCTCTCTCATTACCCACCTCTCTCATTCTCTCTCATTCCCCTTCCCTCCCTCTCTCTCATTCCCTCTCATTTCCCCCTCCCTCTCTCTCTCATTCCCCCCTCTCTCATTCTCTCTCTCTCATTCCTCCCTCCCCACCTCTCTCATTCTCTCCCTCTCTCATCCCCCCCCCCTGTCGTCCCCTCTCACTCACACTCACACACACCCTTGAAGAAGATGCCTATGCAAGTTAGTCACAGGAAATATGACCTTCACGTATTGACCATTGGTATTGACCATTCTGCAAACCTCTACAACAGCATTTCTCAACCACTGGTCACTTGAACCTCAACTCCCAGTCCTCACCAGCCAGCATCTTCAAGTGGCTAAGGCTGAGAATCACTGCCCTATAAACAGAAGTCAAGCACCATATCTACATGGATGCACAGAGATGGAGTCTCTGAATGGATTGATTGACATGCTGAAATGAACTTAGATCCATAAGACTATAGAGCTGTTAGTGATCTAGTCCCAAAGTTACTTATCTGATTAGTCACAGTGACAAAGAAATGGCAGAACAGGACTTCCATCCACCTCTTCCAGTAGCCTACAACCAAGTCCTGTTGTTTCTCATTGACACTCCTCTTTCGACTGTCCAGTAGGGGATGTTCTCGGAGAGCCAAATTTCACACAGATGAGCCTTCCTGGCCACTGGCCACCATTGTGAATAAATATGTATACACACATGACAAAAATGTAACTGCAAATACTCTTGCTTTCTATTGGGTAACAAAGCATACCAAGAGTTTGCTTCTGCAGTTGTAACTAGGAATCTCCATCTAAGATCTTCTATGAGACTTGACGGTTATTTTCAAGCAATTCATCCATTCATCCATCTGACTGGAGCAGTCAGATAATAGTTTTGAGATAGAGACTTCAACATCACATGGATTTTGAAGAATCTACTTCACAGAAAAGTATTCTAAAACTCTATGAGAAGAAGGGCCTGACTCCAATGAGCAGTTCAAAAGCACATAAAAAATGCAAGTAGAAAAATAGGGACCACCTTTGGTGGGAACGTAACAGTGTTCTGTGCGCCTTCGGCGTTTAGTCATGCCGGCCACATGACCACAGAGACGTCTTCGGACAGCACTGGCTTTGAAATGGAGATGAGCACCGGCCC